TAAATGTATTTTTTAACGAGATAAAATAACGGTACAAGTGTATGTATTTTTTTTTTTTTAGGAGTGAAAAATTGATTTGGATTGCTCGTTTTAGAGTTTGCGAATTTGGAAATCGATAAACGATGTATAATTAATAGTTAATAATTAGTTAAAATATCGAAATTGTATCGCGTAAATATATAGAGCGAAATAACTAGGGATTAAATCTACTCACTCATTCTGCTCCCGTTTCTTCCCGTGAATTAACTGTATTAAAATCAGATCGTTTAACGAAAACTAGTTGTTCACGTTGTTCGTCTAATTTCCTGGTAATATCGCGGTGCATGTAGCACGCGAACGATAATGGTCAATAATGTAAACCAGAAAACCGGTATCGAACTGTTCCCAAGGGAGGGATCACGCTTCCGGGACTCAAATTAATTGAAATCGTGGCGTAATGCCCCCAACAAATATTATTTGCGCCAGCGTTACTTAATTGCAATCTTCGAGGAAGACTTTATTTTCCCTCGCGACCCTCTTTCGTGAACGAACATTCAAAAGATATTTTAAAGATAATCGAGATTTTTTTTGGAACATCGAAGAAATTTCGATAATTAATTTTATAGAAATAATTTTTTGTTGAACATATTAAATTTGAAAGAATCAAATTTTTCTTTTGTTGGAAAATAATCGTACAATTTTTTTTTTTTTTTCTTTTCCAATGAAATTTTTGTCGCAGTTCCGTGCGTCGAAACCTTCCAAAGACAGGAAGCCTCGAGAGCCGACTACGTCTCGCATGAATAATGGCTGATGCAACTCGGGTGGATAATCGAGACGGCGTACAATCGCGCTTAAACGGGTTCAGTGGAAAGAGAAGATTGGCGAAACAGGCGTAATAATCATCACACACGATTCCGTCGTATAAAATCCTTTGCGAATCGTGGAACGGTTGTACAGATAGTCGCAAACGTTTCCGTTTCGGTTAATTATTCGCGGAGGCACGAATCGCACGGTTAATTAGCCAGAATTGCTGAACATCGAGTTATATTCAGGTAATTGGCTCGCGAGATGCAAATTGTCTTCTTCCATTTCCGATTCGTCGACTTCTCTCTCTTTCGTTTCGTTCTTTTTCGTCGATCTATAAAATGAATCTTTCTTTCTTTTCTTCTTGGACGAGATATTTTTGATTCTTAAAATTTTGAACATAGATTTCTACGAAAGAATAATATATACATGGAATATTTTGAAACTTTCTGAATTGTCACTTACTTTAAAACTCGATTAAAATTAAGAAAATTTTAAGCCGCTATAACTTCGAAGATAGTGACTTCCGGTGGACGAGTGAACGATCGTTAGAAGCGCGGAATTTTCCCCTTTAAAACGCTTTTTTGTTTATCTCGATACGACTTCCGGTTCCCGAAATATCATCGCGTAAAGAAAATGTAATTTTTAATCCTTTACCTTAAACTCGATTAAAATTAGGAAAACTTTGAACCGCTATAACTCCGAAGATAACGACTTCCGGTGAACGAGTGAACGATCGTTAGAAGCGGGGAACCTTCCCCTTNGGACGAGTGAACGATCGTTAGAAGCGCGGAACCTTTCCCTTTAAAACGCTTTTTCGTTTATCCCGATACGACTTCCGGTTGCGGAGATATCGTCGTGTAAAGAGAAACGTAATTTTTAATCGTTTACTATTTCTATCCTTGTTTCTTATTCGGATCTCTCGTTCGCACCTCGCCTCACTGACCTATCCCAACTCCAGACGAGCGACAGACGCGATTCTTGCTTACTACGCATTTCCAGGAAAAAAATGTAGGTCACTGGGTCGCGGACTCATTCATTATTTTTGTAAACGTATGACCGCTTTGAATCCTTATATCTCGGCAACGAATTGAGATATCGGGATAAAACAAAAAGGGATTTCAATGGCATGGTTTTCTCTATTTTTTAAATGGATTTTGACAACAAAATTTTAGTTTCTTTTCCCGCTTTTTATACGAAAATTCAAAGTTTCATTTGTCATTTTAAATAAATTGAGCATCGATTTATACGATATAAAATATATACGAATATAATTTATCATGTTTTTCAGTAACATTAAACATAATTTTTAAATCTGTTCGATATATTATACAATCTGTATAGGTACGAAACACTTGCCGCCTCTAAGTTTATATATCGTTATCGTAAAAATATCCAAGTATTCCTTTCAATTTCATATAATAATATATCATAATATTATTTCATCCTCCCTTTTTAAATTCGCCAACTTGGATATATAATTGGAAATTCGCCGAATCGAATCTTTTCCGCGAACTACACGGAGAAGATTGAAAATGGTGACACGAGTGGCAAGGTTTGTGTCATCCTCGTTACCCGATTTTCTTTCCACCGCCGATCTTTCACCACTCGACGTTTAAATCTCTCTCGAGTGTCCCCGAGGTTTTTCCTACACTCGCGGCGGGCGGAGCAGGATTTCGAGCACGCCATCGTATAATTCCCGCCGCGTATTCATTATGCCTTCCTTGACAAATTAACGCGAAGGCAGAAGCATTGGGGGCTTCAGGAATCTGTTGAATCCACGATGGCGATTTTCTCGCTCCACTGGAGAATTTCGCGTCGTGAAATATTTTTCCCGATTCATAGATCGTAACGAAGAGAGATTTATTTCTACTCACAGATGAATCTTTAATATCTCTCAATGTTGAATTTATATCCGTTCCCTCGAAGGAGTTTGAATTTCTGGATGTAAAAATTTGTGAGAAGTGATTAAATTAAATCAGCACAAGGATATGATTATTTTAGGATGATATTCAGAGATTATAAATATGTATTATAATAAATTTTGATATTTTTCGAATAATTTATTATTCGATTCCTTCTTATATTATTAAAGCATTAATTTAACCTAAGTTAATCTATATTTTCCAGATCAAACCACTTCCACCAATCGAAATGAGGGATGCATTAGGGACAATCTCGCGCGATAAACCATCCAAGGATTAAGCCTTAATGGGAGCCTAACATTTCTAGAATTATACAAGCTCCAAATCTACCTGTCCAAATCCTATCCTTCGAACGTTATTACATCCTGTACAAAATCTGACGAAAATTCTCCAAATACGAACTTTCGATTTGAATTTCGTTGAACGACTTTATCTTTTTAATTTCTTCTTAAATTCAAAACTTAAATTGTTAATCGATTTTTGCTCGAATTTCTCAAAGCATCAATGCATAAAAACCTAGGATGTAATACTAATTTTCCTTTAAAGAAATTAAATTATCATCGATATTAAACGATCAAGAAGTTTCACTTCTTTGTATTACATTAAACAAATTAGAAAAGATATTGAAAGAATGTAAATTGAATATTACTAAAACTCTTATTTTTCATTTTAAAAGACGTTCAATCGTTTGATCAAATTCACTTCGTAATTAATAATTGAAGAAAACTGTACGTGGCTCGTCAAAACTTATTTTTCTTAAACTTATAATACAAAGAAAAAAAAACTCGATCGTAACAAGAATTTCCTGTTACAAAATCGATCTTACTCTGCATCATGCAGATCGAAAGGATTCGAATCGGTGGAAAATTGGATTCAAACCTGGTAAACATTCCTTGAGGGAGAGGGCGAGAATACAATGGAAAAGAAGAAAGAAAGACGAAGTAATCGAGCGTGAAAGGGAGAAGCAAAAGAAAAAAGAAAGGGGGGGGAGAAATGGGAAGAAACAGAAGTTGGGGACGAATACACCACGCTCTTTATCCAACGAGAAGTTGGACAAGTGCAAAAAGAAATGATTTCGAAGGAATCTCTCTCTTTCTCTCGTTTATTCATTTTATTTCCTTCTCTCNGGGGGGGAGAAATGGGAAGAAACAGAAGTTGGGGACGAATACACCACGCTCTTTATCCAACGAGAAGTTGGACAAGTGCAAAAAGAAATGATTTCGAAGGAATCTCTCTCTTTCTCTCGTTTATTCATTTTATTTCCTCCTCTCGTTTTATTGAATTCCAATATATCGAACGTTGCTTATTCCCCATTTTATATATATATATATATATATATACATTTTATAATTTTCCATCGGATAAGTAGCGACATCGATGAAGAGCATCCAACGTGCCCTTTAACGTGCCACTCCAATCGATATATTTCCATTCTGCCTGGCTAAAGAATTCCCTTTACCGGTCACGGTTAACCGATCAATCGGTACTTTAATAGAATACTCGTGCAGATTTATCGTTAAATCTTGGACGCAAGAGACGCGATCGTTGGTTGGATCAGAGAGATCGGTGTGTTTTTGTTTTTTTTTTTTTTTTTTGATTGAAAAATATTAAAGAAATCTTTTTAGTATAGTTTCTTTTTAAATTCGATCGACCAAAGGATCGATCGATCGGTTTCAAACTTTGATAGATTCGTGGAAATTTATCGTTGACCTCGATGCATATAGATGAGAATAGAATATAGGGAGGGTTGGATGATTGTTGGGATTTGAGTAATAAGGAAAGATAGGTGTTTGGTGATGAAAGAGACGGAATATTATTTTTTATTATATGCAAGAAAATTAATCGAATACTGATGCCAAGTTCGATTCTCTTTCGAAAATTTTTGATTTTCTGTCTAAAATAAATCGAATCAACGTAGATTAATTCTCTGACGGAGTGACAATATAATATAAAAAAAATATAAATATAATAAAAATATAAATATAAATCGTAAAGGAAAATCGTAAAGGAAAATTCGAATCGTAGAAAAATTGTTTGCAGTTTTAAACAATTTGAGCAGTTTTCGTAAGGAGAATAAAACAGCAGAGGATTTGTAAATAAACCGAATTATATACACTGCAAAACACGATACACTCGTATAAGAAAAGAAATATTCCAGGAAGTTATCGAGTTTCTATATATATTTTAGCTTCGTATCCTCTTTCAATCGTTGCGATTCGCGGAGAGATACGATGTTATTTCTTTTTCTACCACCTCTCAAGGGATTAAGAAGAAAGAATTCAGTTCACTCACCGATATTCGGATGCTGCAATTTCCTGCATATCCGTGCCTCACGTTCCAACTTCTGAAAATCTGAAAAACAAAGAAGAGAGAACGATAACGATATGATAAATCAACGGATGGATTCGATGATGGAAAGATGAAAAAAATCATAATTAACTCGAAGATAAATACGCATAATTCCGTGGATAGATATTAAAAGATCGATAGAATTAGGATTCGTGAAACGACGAATTCCTTCGACTCGTGTCGTGAGGAGCTCGAGCATATTCCTCCACGTATTCCTAAGGCGAGCTTTATCGAGCGAAAATTTCACCATAACGGGAACCAATAGCAAGGTACAATCATTATCGCGAAATCGAATTTCTCGACGGGCTCCCTTGACGAGTTTCCTCGTGGCCAATTCACCAAGGACCGCGATAAAATTGGATTTCTCGGAGGCCAAGTCGTTTCGAGCACGATTTCCTGTTTCCTTTTTCCGTTGTGAACGTCCCTTGCGAGTGAAGGGCCCATCCATTCCATCCATTTCGTCTATTATCGTTCCTTACTTATTAAATACCATGCGTTTCCCTTTTTCCACCGAATTTACCCCTTTCGAGTCGAGCATCCCTCTGCTACTTTAGGCATATTTTTCTGTGTTTTCTAGATTCAATAATAATTGGAGATTGTACTGAAACGTTTGTATATATTTTTAATTGTAGCTTTGAAAATTTATTGAAAAGGAAGAATGCGCGTTTATATAAAAAGTCATCGCTTTAATATTAAGTATAACCATTAATTATTCTTTAATTATTCATCGGTTCTTAAATATTCAAACTATTATATTCTCGTAACAAGAAGAATATTTCGTTAATTCTTGACATTGATGAAGTTCTTCCATTCCTTCAAAACAAAATATCCGAAGAAATATCAGCCTTAAGTCCTCTTATATCATCGTCATCGAGTCGTAAATGTGAAACGAATTAAAAAAAAAAAGAAAATAGAAACTGGACGAATTATAGTGCGAGTTTAATAATTTAATCCACTTATGAAAATCGTTTCGAGGCGAAAATACACGAATACATTTATCCAAGTGACAGACGCTACTGGGGATGTAAATAATCATTCCCTCGGCTTTGAGTTGAAAGAAAGAGGGGAAAAAAAAAAAAAAAAAAAAAACAAAATCGAGCATCTTCTTTCCCATATTGCTATCGCTCTTCCTCGCCTATAATTAAATCTCCAACGAGGCTCGACGAAATCTTCTTTCGTATCCGCGCTAAACAACCAGAATTAACGAGCATCTACCGACAAGAAAGAAGAATGCAAGACGAGGGGAAGACAAATTGGAGGACAGAAGCACTTGACGAGTAAAAAAGGAAAAAAAAAAAAAAAAGAAACGAAGAAAAAGAAACTAGGTCATTTCTCGTGTACAGGAGAAGAATCTTCGAGAGAATTGTTTCTATATTCGAGCGATTTTGTCTCTTCGATTAATCGATGGTTTATTGTATTTTCGAGAGAATTTCTTATCTTCTATTTTCATTCGAAGAGAATATTTTATAATCGTCGTCTCGACAAAGAAAATCCATTCCAATTCAAATTGAAAATTGACTTAATATCAATTTTCTGAAATTCAAAATAATAATAAATCAGTGTGACGATAAGCTTGTATTTAAAATTATAACAACGATATAAACAACGATGTTGACGACGACAACAATGTTTTGTTTTTTCAGCCTCCTCCAGAGATCGATCCTCCAAAAATATCCCACGAATACATTTAACGCTCTCTCATACGTTCCTTTTTTTTTTTTTTTTTTTTTTTTACGTTCTCCCTTGAAAAAACGTAATTATAAAGAGGCAATTCACCGAGTCGCGACATAGCCTTTGGCCAAGATTAGGCAAAGCTGGATGAACCACCGGTTAACGAACCACCCTTGTTCGCGCTAAACTCGTTAACGCGCACCCTTCCACAGGCCACAAGGAGCAAAGATCTTCTCCTCTGGATACTGATTTTCCATTTCCAATCTTTTGAAAACTCTACAATTTTCGAAGTGTTTTTAAAATTTGCGCCAAAGGTTAAAGCTCTCTTAAGAGATAATTTAGAGATAAAAGATGAAGTGATTGTTTTTAGAATGAAAATTTTAACAAAATCTTACCAATAAATATTTAATATTCATCGATACCCATTTGTATTCGTCTTAAGATATTCTAGATTATATATCCGATTTATCAATTATCATATATTATTTATTAATCAAAATTAAAGAGATTATATCGAATCTATCTGAAAGAGATCGAGATTATTCCATATATCACTTGTTATACTCTTATACAAACTTAAAATCCAAGATATCCTAGAATATATATCCGAAAATATCCAGAATTCGATATTCGATCATCCATTATTGTGAAAATAATTCCCAATCAAAATTAAACAGATTTTCTATATCGAATTTCTGAAGATATCTTCTCGTACAAATTAAAAATCAAAATTCTTCGAAATAATATTCTTTAAAAAAAAACCATATTTACGATCCATTATCTTCAACGTGCGATCAGATTCTAGAATGCAGGAATGGAATCAAAGCATATAAGATAGAAATAAGATAAAAATAAAAAAGATCTTGCTCGCATCGATTGACTCGTCGAGGGAGAGAAGACTTTGAGAGGACTTTGCTCGCTTTGCGTCCGATCAAGCACGAATGTCGCGAAACTGTCCAACTAAAAAACTAACCCCCCCTCCCCCCGTGGCGTGCAAACCCAACGGATTGTGCTACGTCGAGGGGGAGGGGGGCGAGGGGGGCGAGCTCTTGATCCGTGGAGCGTGATAAGATCGAGACGCGCGTGTTCGATGGACAAACGATGCGTTTCGATGCTATCCTCGACGCTCACACGAGAGGTGTGCGTGAGCCCGCCACCCCTCTGTGTTTTTCCGCGACGAGGACGCAGGCGTGAACTTGACGATGGGTGTTGTTCCGTTCGAGGATTCCGCTCGATAAAGGAGATGATATTCACGCTCAGATTTATCGCCATGGCGATGGCGGGTATGATAATGTTGGGGAAGGAGGAGGAAAGGGTGTTGTTCCAAAGAATCGCCTAAAATATCGAATCGAACGATCGATTTTTTTCTTGAGTCAAATAATGTTGGGGAAGGAGGAGGAAAGGGTGTTGTTCCAAAGAATCGCCTAAAATATCGATCGATCGATTTTTTTCTTCAGTCAAATCGCCTAAAATATCGAATCGAACGATCGATTTTTTTCTTCGGTCAAATACGGTTGATCAATCGAGAATAGATAAAATTGGATGAAAGAAAGAAAATCAAAGTACCAGGAGAGGTGAAGTGGTCGACGTAGAACAATGGGCGAGGATAGATGGAAAAGGAAGATGGAGGAAGATGGAAGAAGGGAGGGATAAGGAGGAATTTGATTCGTGAAGTTTCGTAGGAAGAATTTGATTTATCCCTGAACTATGGATCTTCTGTTTTAGACGTTGGCGAAGCGGGTCCTTTGGGACAGTGAACTTGTCTCGAGATCCACTATCTTGCTTTCAAGGGGAAAAGTTGCTCCAGCGGAATTCGGTGCATCGAAGAAGATCTTTGCCTATGGCTAGCAGAGGGGTTGATAAGTCCACCCGAGAAAGAGGATTTTCTCAAGGATATTACGTGGTATATATATATATATATTTCTTTTTGCTATTTCCATTGAATTTTAAAAAAACTCGTATATGGATGATGTTCGTTTGAAATACATTTTATATGAAATATAAATGTATCTAGAAATTAGAATATTTATCATTATTGTTTATTTAAAATCAATATCGTTCAATCTTATATTTTCTTCCTTTTATTATATTTAATTTGTATCGAGTTTCTTTTTAAAGTTAGAAAACAATATAATAATAAAAGGAAACATGGAAATATTCATATGATGGGACAATCGAGACAGCAAGAATTCCAAAGATGGAACCACGCCGTTTTATCACTTTCGAGTAACGAGCTATACACGAAAACTTAATTAAGGGAACAAGGTATCCTGGAGAAACACCGATATAATAACTCGAAACTTTCCAAATATATATATATATATAACACTTGGCGCTCTTAACTGATAATTAGAACCCGTGCAGAAACTTAGAGATATTCAGGAGAACGAAGATACAGTTCAAAGAGAATACCTTGTAACTGGGTCAAGTTCTCCAAGTGGACAAGAAACTTCCCTTCCATTTCTTTGAATTTAAAATAGAAACAAGTGAACGGAACGGAACGGGGGGGGAGGGGGAGGGGGAGGGGACAGGAGCAGAAGAAAGAAAATGGATAAAAGAAATTTATGAATGGGGGAAATTTCACGATCATCGTCGGCCATTGCACCCAAAAATAAACTGATTTACAGAAAGAGAGAGAGAAAAAAATATTCGAGGGAAATTATTTGGAATAATGGATAAATTGGATTCTTTCTCGTCGATAAACAACGAGAAAAAGAAAGATTGAAACGTGGAGAACGTTAAATATCTCGTTGTTTTTAGAATCGAAATGATCGAAAGATCTATCTTGCTGTGATCATTTCAAATTTATACAATCAATTTTTCAAGCGTCATGATCATTACGCGTGTAACAGGCTTGATTCGAGTGGAATTATATCAAAAAAAAAAAAGAAAAGAAATGAATATTTAATTATTTAGACACACTAATAATAAACTTTATATATAACTTTTGTGGAAATTAATTTCTTGCTATTTGATAAATGATCTTAGATTCTAGATCTTAGATAACTATATCTTCAAGATAAAATTAATAGAAATTACATATCTGTAAAGAAGTTACGATACTAAAGAAGTTCGTTCAACTGTTCGATCGAAAATATTTTCCTTCGATTAGAACGATTAAATCGAAAATATTTTCATATTCGATTTTTATCGAGATGGAAAATATTATTATTTAACCTTATCTCTCGAGAATAATATTTTCGTTCGATTCCATTTTCGAGGATCGAGGGAATGTTTCGAGGTGGAAATAAGGGGAAGAAGTGGAGATTTCGTGTGTTGTTAAAAGATTGACACTCTCACCCCTCCTTCTGTGCAATAAAAAGGGGATGAGA